ATTTTGTATTTTCAATAAATATTTTACTAAATAACTATAGATAATCAATGACTGAAGTACAAGTTGAATATATCACTTGACTTATTCTGATAAATTTTCGTTGCAAAAAATATATCATGTAAGGAACGCTCATTATCTATGTTTTACTTGAAATTTGCTTTTCATCTAAACTGTAGGCTGCTGTAATGCTGTTAGATGTTTGGTAGAAAAGCTTTTTAAGTTCAAAAACAACCGGGTATTAAATAAAGCTGAATCAGGCAAACCTTGCGGTACATGCATTATGCCAACAGTCAAGCCACCGATAATATCGCCGTGAAGATCTTGACGCCATCGATACTTTGGAAGCCACTGCAGAATAGGGAAAAACGAGTAAAGACATTCTAGAACAGAAAACGTTCTTAGACGATATATAATTTTTGGCAGAAGTTTTGACGACTCTTCATATTGTGGTTTTGAGTAATTTGCCTCAAAGTCTTCCTAAAAATACAACTTGAGCACAACGCCAAAAAACTTAAGTCACTGAGGTCTAAGTTTTGCAAGAAAGTAACTTCCTTACCTGATTCATATCAATTTTTTAGCTCTTTTTGACACTTCTCTTTTTCCAGTGTTTTAAGATTTGTTTAGAAAGTTTAATCCGGACAACTAGGCGCAACAGTCTGAATAGAATGCTTAGAAGTTACAGCAGTTGTAATCAAAAACTGAAAAGAAAAAAGGAAGATTTTTATAAATTAGTGAAGAAATGCTTTATTTGACAAAAGAAATAATGCAAATTTTAACATTGTGCTAAAAACAGTTTTTTTTTCTAGAAAATGCTTAAACGTAGTAAAACTTTTCTTTTTTAAAAATTGCTTATTATTTTTTCTTTTTTTTTTTTGGAGGGGGGGAGCATAGTTGTTTCTTTTTGTGGTAAATTCTTATATTTGATATCGTTCAGTGAAACAGATAGGCAAAAAGAAAAAGTTCAATAACGCTTTCAAAAATCTGTAATAAAACATTAATGAACAATTATAAGCATTATTGACCACAAAATTAGCAAAGTTCAAAAAAAAAAAAATTGTAAAAAGCTAAAAAAAAAAACTTTTTAAAACAATTTTGATTAGACAACGCATATTTGCAAC